GTGTGTGTGTGTGTGTGTGTGTGTGTGTGTGTGTGTGTGTGTGTGTGTGTGTGTGTGTGTGTGTGTGTGTTGGGGGGGGGGCATATTATACAACACACACCCCTCCTCTTGAAACATTCAGTTAACAGCAACCTCTACTTAACAGCAACCAAGGCTTGCTTCCCAAGGGGGTTTATATTAGGTGGACACCGCTGCAAAAGCTCATTTATTTCTTTAACTCATTCGCTACACATTATTTTCGGCTTGTGGACGCATTTTTTTCGGGAAGGCGAAATGAGATGATGACGAGTGCGCAGTTCAAAGGTCTTTGGGGCCACAAATTCAAATAAATATTAACATATTAAGCACCGAAATATTCAGTATGATTTGTAGAAAACATCTGTAATGTTTATTTGTGCATTTTTCAACTTTGGTTCCTGTAAGAGGCAATTATGCAACACAATTTTGCTTGGATGCGGATGAAATTTGAAAATAAAAAATTAATCATCTTCGGTGAAACTCAAAAAATATGTTCACACCTAGTCAAATGATACATCAAAATAACCATAAATGAATATAGAACTGGAAAATATTGAAAAATGTGCAGTTATTTATATATTCCATAAAATTTACACATTTGGATCATGACATCCGATATTGAAAAAAAAAAAACTTTTATAATCTTGAAAAATGGACAAGATGTATTCACAAACAGAAAAAAAACCACTCGTATCGTATGGAATTATTCAGAATTGCATTTGGAATAAACCTACACATGTCTTGAGTTGTACTTTTTGTGTTAATTCACAAAAAATAGTGATTTTTGGGAGAAAAAAATAATTTGACAATTTAGATCTAGAACAAGATCTAGACTAGATCTAGCACTGAAAAATTTTGATTTCTCAATAACAGAGCAATTGCAATTTGATCCCAATTGTATCAATATTCAAAAGAAGAGTCTTACATTTCTTTAGTGTGCAAAATAATGATATAATATTTTGTTGTGTAAAAGTAGTATAAGATTGGAGACTGGGCTATAATATGAGCATCGCGATAAAACAAAGTCACATAAAAACTTGGAAATTGTGTTTCAAACTTAATCAAAACTTCCGATTTTCGGTGGAAATGCTTGACCCGGAAGTCAACATTATATTATGACCTTTATTTTAACGTGGATATGTGGATTGGAATAAAATCTAAGCTAAAATTGAAGTTCGGTTGTCGAGCCGCCGGGGGCGGCTTAGCGTACTGATGGCTCACCGTAGCGAATGAGTTAAACCATTCAAGAGTCAAAAGGGGACGCTATTTTCTCAAAATAAAATGTTTTCCCTCAAATCCACAATAGTCACCTCCCGCTCCCGAGAGCTGGCCCGCAAGTTGGCTATTCAGTTCGTTCTTTGCTCGCTCAACGGAGTGAGAGAGGGAGGCGAGTTTTGTCGCCTGGCGAGACCAGTTGGCTGTAGCTATTCTATAATGCATCTCGGCACAGACGCAGGATAATAAGAGTTAATAACACACTACTAATCTAAAACTAGATCTAGTAACATACTTCTTTGGCTGTCATTATTTGGACTCGAGTCCGAATAACATTGGACTAGGGTCCAGAAAAAAGGAAGTGTCTTCGTTCTATAGATCTAACGTTCAGTGCTTCCAATTTTCTGCCATTTTTAGTTTCCCCCACACCTTTTCTGCCGATCCGATGCCCGCCACCTCATTGATACGGACCCCACCCCCAACCCACCTCCCCATGTTTCCCACTTTCTTTGTTGTAGAAAAAGGTAAAATTGAAGATTAGCAGACCACCTGGCACCTGCATATTATGAGCTGTGTAAAAAAAAAGGGAGTGTATACAGACCCGGTAACCGGGAACAAAGTCACAAAGTATACAGACCCGGTAGGGGAACTCTTTTGTGATTTCTGAGAGTTTCAGCGCCCTCTTGGCTCAGGGTAGACCTAGGTTTTTCTTGATCTATGGTCTAGGTCTAGATCTAGGCAGACAGACATAAATCTTTCATCTAGTTTCGCGGCTAACCTAGATCTAAATGAAGATTGCGGATGTCGTTTCGATGAACGATTGTTTTTTCTCTCTCTCTCTCTCCTCTGTGTATCGCTCGCCTTCTCTTTTTCTTTGTTTGTCTCTGTATTTCTTTGTCCCCACCTATTTCCCACTCTATCTTTCTCTCGTTCCCTCCTGCCAACTGGGGCATGTCATATACATTTTGCTAGCACCCCCCCCCCCCCCCCTTCCCTTTTTTTTTTTTTTTTAAAAAAACACACAAAAAAAAAATTTTCTCCGGGGCTGGAGGCTGAAACTTTTCGAAAACACAAAAAAATTCCCCTACCGGGGCTGGATACTTCCTGAATTTGTTCCCGGGTACCGGGGCTGTATACACTTCCAAAAAAAAAAGAAAGAATCCTTCAAATACACAAGGCCGGGTC